CCACTTCTTTGTCACACCTAGCTGTAAATTAATTAGAAAATGGTTTTAGAAATTATAAAATGTGTCTGGTACTACAATATGAGAATCGTATCAACAATGAATGTCACTTCTTTCAACTTTTAATAAATTTTCACTGAAAATGCATCATGTAGAGTAAATTCTAAAGCTTAAAAAATGGAATAAATTGCTAAAATTATATGGAGAGAATAGTAATTACTTTGGTGTCCCATATGGATATTTCAAAATAAAATCGAAAGTTGAGGTGCAAATTTTGTTATCGAAATTAGTGTTTTGTGCTTTGATTTCATACCACGTTTGTTCATGTCTAACCATTGTTTATGAGAATCATGCCTATGTGTGCCCTTTGCCATGTAAGTTCATGTGAGGTGAATTTTTACGGCACTCTTTTCTCTTTTTTTTTTTTTTTTTGGTTACCCACACAACAAAATTTACTACATTAATTTGTCAGTGAAGCACAGCATATCAAGTTTCACTGGTCGACATTAAATGAAAATTCTATTGTCTCATTCCTTGTTGTATTATAGATCATGGTGAAGATTGAGCTCAACTTCTGGTCGACATTATTGTCCGGCTGAATAGCTGACTTGATTGAGGTATTTTTTAAATTTTTTTTTCTTGTTTTTGTCTGATAAGTCGCATTTTCCCTTATCCTTGTGCATAAGATATTTTTCAGTATCCAAAAAAATTAAGATTTGATGGGTGGATTATTTTTTTATGAACCATAATAATTAAATTTTGATATAGAGAAATTCATATAGTTTGTCTTGTCTTGTGACTAAATAATAACAAAATATTGACAATAATAATAAAGGTTTGGTAATAGATAATAAATTTGATTATAATGTGCATGTGTGCTTAATTTCCTTCATTGTGGAAGATAATGAAATTGGCATCAACAGAGATCCGAAATTTGTGCTGGGTGTGAAGGCAGTGAGCAAGTAAAACGGAAGGTTCTAGTTTGATTGTTTATCAGGTCGACTTTTGGTAGTTTACTAGTTTTTCATTTGTTTTTCAGTAATAGTGTTACTCCTTGTTGTCAAAGTGATATATCTCTCATTATGGATTTAGTGGTAAGTAGAGCATTTATCTACACAACCAATAGATGGGTGCTCATGTTGTCAAAGTGATATATCTCTTACTAAGACCTTGTGGTTTCAGTGATAGAGAGCATATTTATCTACACAGCCAAAATCGATGTCGGCTAGTAACTCTCTCTAGTAGAAGGAGAACCTTGATTTCTTGGATATATTTTGGCCAAATAACACGATTAGATATGCTTTAACCTTCTTTGCCTAATAAGAACAAGGGTGTCCTTTTGTTTTGGTGCCATATATTAGAAAGCCAAAATTCAGAATGCTCCAAAGTTGAATATGGCCTATCATGCACCCCAAAACAGTGTACGTTGTGTGCTCCCATGGATGTCTTTCACAAATTTAGATTATTTTTTTTTTCAGAAAAAGAAAGTCTATAAATACCCTAATTATGTTCACTATATCAATCAGTCACTTCACTACCTGAGGGAATTTAGTTCTAAAATGCCTTCTCCGAAGGCATTTGCAACTATTGCTCTTCTTCTCTCCCTTAACCTTGTGTTTTTCAATACAGTGAGTTCAAATGATCATGCTCCTAATTGTCCACCAACACCACCCAAAACCCCAAAACACCCTACCCCCTCAACCCCAACCCCAAAACACCCTCCTCCCTACACCCCAAAACCAAAACACCCTCCCCCCTCAACTCCAAAACCAAAACACCCTCCCCCCTCAACCCCAAAACCAAAACACCCTCCTCCCTACACCCCAAAACCAAAACACCCTCCCCCCTCAACTCCAAAACCGAAACACCCTCCTCCCTACACCCCAAAACCAAAACACCCTCCCCCCTCCACCCCAAAACCCAAACACCCTCCCCCCCCGACCAACCCCCCCCAACCCCAACACCTTACCCAATACACCCTCCCCCAACTCCAACACCAACCCCAGAACAACCTCCCCCAACCCCAAAATG